TTTATTCTTTTTATTTATTTATTTTTTGCTATGCCTATTTACTCTGAAAATTTGTACATTTGATTCTCCTTTCCATATTTATTAGGTTACCCCTAAGGGGAAAGTCATGTCAAGCAATTTTTGAGCATCATGAGCAACCTTCTTTGCGTGAGGTTTACAAATACTTGAAGGAGAAAGGGGGAACAACTTCTGAGGGAAGAGTGCACTTTACTAAGAGACTCGGCTGTGGAGCTGTGAGCCGACTCAAGCCTTGCATTGTCACTAATGAAAGTTGTAAAGAGCCCAGGAGGACCGAAGAGCAATGTTTGTTTGTGTTTGAGAAAATTCGGGAGATATGAGCCGGGGTGGCGGTGGGTAAGGTGCCAAAAAACTTTGGGAGTTCTGTCTGACAGAGAGCCCTGACGCAGAGCAGGAACTTTGGAGCATTGTTAAACATTGAAGTTTCAGGGCAATGGGGACCATCTGACAGATTTCTGAGCACCTACCACAGATGTTTTACATGTTTGTGTTTACCAACTTTACTGTAGTTTGTGAGTGCGCTGGATTTACCAAAGCACGCTGTGTCAATCTGTGTCACCCTTGGCATTATTGATCTTTTGTTAACATTTTGTGGCAGTAAGTGGGTTAGGGAGTGATTTGAAAAGCAGAAGGTGCAGATACAATTGCAAACAAAAAGCCCTGACATCACAAGTCGGTTATTGGGTCTACTTTATAACAATTACAGATTAATCTGCAATTATGAAACATAACTAAATCTGAAACAGAAGGAAAATAATGGCTTCCATTCTATTCACAAAGTGCCTTGCAAATGGTATTTTTCCTTCATGCTTTAATATAATACAATAATGTGTTGATTGTGATATCTTGTAAAAGGCTTAAACAAAGCAGAGCATAACTGTGAAGTGAAGGAAAATTACACTTTTTTTTCTACAACTGAAAGCCTGAGAGTTAATTTGGAATGCAGATATAGAAGGCCCTTCTTGTAAGTAAATTGTAGGACTACCTCTTGTTGCTGTTTCAGCTTGAGCTCTTTTTCATCAAAAGGCAGAATGTTTTGCTCATTCTTCTTTAAAAAAAATATCTCAGGCTCAGTCAGAATATGTAGAGCTTTGTGATTCTTTTCATAGTTTTCAAGCACATTTAGGTCTGGACTTTGACTATGCCATCATATTCAAATAAAATAATGTGCTTAGACAAACAAAAAATTCCATTGCAACTCTGATTCAACTTATTTGTTTCATTCATCTTCCCACCAACTTTTGGTAGCATCCTTGTCTTTGCCAAAGCCAGGTTTCTTTGCAACCTGTCTCAGTTCAGTGTTACTTTCCCATACATTTTATACACTCAACAAAAATATAAACGCAACAATTTTGGTTTTGTTCCCATTTTTAATGAGATGTACTCAACAATCTATAACTTTTTCCACATACAGAATATAACTGTTTCCCTAAAATATTGTTCACAAACCAGTATAATTCTATGATAGTGAGCACTTCTCCTTTGCTGGGATAATCCATCCCGCCTCACAGGTGTGTCTTATCAAGATGCTGATTAGACACCATGATTAGTTCACAGGTGTGCCTTAGACTGCCTACAATAAAAAGCCACTCTGAAAGGTGCAGTTTTATCACACAGCACAATGCCACAGTGGTCGCAAAATTTGAGCGAGCGTGCAATTGGCATGCAGACAGCAGGACTGTCAACCAATGTTCATTTCTCTACCATATGCTGTTTTAAAGATTTTGGCAGTACATCCAACCATTCTCACGAGAGCAGACCACGTGTAACCACAACAGCCCAGGACCTACACATCCAGCATGTTTACCTTCAATATCGTCTGAGACCAGCCACTCGGACAGCTGCTGAAACAAATGGTTTACATAACCAAAGAATTTCTGCACAAACTGTCAGACACCATCTCAGAGAAGCTTATCTCCATGCACGTCGCACTTATTGGGGTCTCAACCTGAATCCAGTTCATCATCATAGCCGACTTGAGTGGGCAAAATCTGGTGTCTGGCACATTGGAGAGGTGTTCTATTCATAGATGAATTGCAGTTTACACTGTTCAGGGAAGATGGCAGAGAGCATGTGTGGCATCGTGTGGATGAGTGGTTTTCAGATGTCAATGTTGTGGATCGAATGGCCTATGGTGGCTGTATGATTATGGTATGGTAGGTGTATGTTATGGATAGAGAACACAGGTGCATTTAATTGATGGAATTTTTAATGCAGAGAGATACCATCATGAGATCCTGAGGCCCATTGTGCCATACGTCCAACAACATCACCTCATGTTGCAGCAGGATAATGCACGGCCCTATGTTGCCATGACCTGTACACAAGTCTTGGAAGCTGAAAACATCCTAGTTCTTGCATGGCCGGAAAACTCACCAGACATGTCACTTCACACAGCCATTGAAGAAGAGGGGACCAACATTCCACAGGCCGCATTTGACTACCTGATCAACTCTATGCAAAGATGTGTTGCCATGCATGATGCAAATGGTGGTCACACCTGATACTGAATGGTTTTCTGAGTCCTCAGACCCCCCCCAATAAAACAAAGCTGTACCTTTCAGAGTGTACCTTTTATTATGGGTAGTCTAAGGCACACATGTGCACTAATCATGGTGTCTAATAAGCATCTTGATAGGGGCACACCTGTGAGGTGGGATGGATTATCTTGTCATGGTTTTATCAAGAGCTCGGACCCACATGCAGAGAAATCAATTCAGAGAGACCAGGGGAAAGGTTTAACAGGTTTATTGAAGATATAATGCTGAATCAAGTGTTGCTCTGAGCACTGCTCAACCGGAAGTTTCCAGAGAAGTTGTTGACTCTTTGACTCCAGTCTGTGTGCGGTAGTTCGAGTGTTTGTCTGATTTGGTGGAGGGTGAACAGGGTTTACCCAGAATGCGGTTGTTTGTAGGTGAACGGAGAAGCTGA